TAATAAAACGATAAAATATGATATCCAAAATTTTGATCCAAATAATATTCTATTTTTATCTTCTATAAAAATTCAATTTTAATTTTTTTATAAAAATATTAAAACTTATTTCAAATACTCTAATACTTTGGTGGTATTTTAGAATAATTTTCTCACATAAAGATTATTAAAGAATTATTACTTGGACTTCTTTAGAATATTATCCTTAGATATTTGTATCTATTCTTCATGATTAAATTACGTACATAAGATGCAATGCAAATAATGAAACATAATAGTCATGCATTTATTTATGTATTTTTATTTTATTTTATTTTATTTTTATCTAATTTTTTTTATGAATTATGACTCTCATTTTAGAAAATTTGGTTGAATAATTTTCTTTTTTTTTTTTTTTCATATTTTACACATTTTTTAATAGAAAAAATGATTTTTTTCATATTAAATTTTTTTTATAAATACTCCAATACATTAATAATTTGTAAAGAAATCTTCTCACCTAAAAATTTCATAAGCATCATTATTCGAATTACCTTAAAATTTTATCATCGGATAAATATTTTTTTTCTATATTATTATTATTATTTTTAAAAAAATAAATGAAAATCTTTTGTATTGAATTTTTTTAAATATTTTATTACTTTGATAATGATTTTAAAAAAATACTTTCATCTAGAGATTTTAAAAAATTATTACTCAAGCTTCCTTAATATCTCGTCCTCAGAAATATTTTCATTTTCATTATTTTCTATTTTTCATTAATAGTAAAAATTTTCACTCAAAAAATAAAATAAAAATAAGTATTAAAAAAGATTTAAGGAATATGTATTTTTATAAATATTATTAATTATTTCAAGACAAAAATATTTTTATAAAAAATATTATTGACATGAATAATGTACAAACATTTAAATAAATACTCAAAATGTATAAAAATCATTCACTAACAAAAGTTTGGTGTTAAAGTCCAAAATCTTAAGTCTATAAAGCCCAAATTAAAATCTAACAACCACCGAAAAGGATCCCAGGCAGATTGAGCTGCCGAAGCAGATCAGTTAATAGACGGGCCGAATCACGAGTTGGATCTTAGGTTGGGTTGGCCTTCCGATTCAGGTTTAACCCGCCAGCGACTTTTTTTTTAAACTATAAAAACCAAAGGTATTTTTTTTTTTTTTAACTTGATTTCTTCTCCTTTAAGAAAAAAATAAAAAATAAACCCAAACATCAGCCAGTTCTCAAACCCAGAACATGGTGTCTTGTTACCGCATTGGCCACCGTTACTTTGCTGGTCACCATTGGCCGCTGAATAGCGCCTCCCCATTTTCTTTCTTCTCTTTTCTTTCTCCTTTACTCGTTGAACCTGTCGCTGTCCAACCTCTTCACCGATCTTCCCTTTCCTTCCTTCCCATCTTTTCTTTTCCTTCTGCAAAACTTGAAACCCTTCTCCCCTCCCTCTTATGTTATTTTGTTACATTGGTGCTGAGGTTTCTTCCCATTGAGAGGACTGTGATTTTTTTATTTTTTTTATTTTTGGTTGTGACAGGTTTCGGGTTGATCTTTTTTTATGTTTTTTTCGTGTTTTTTGGTGGTTTTTTTTGGGCGGTTTGGAAGGGCTATTTGGGCGTTGGTGGCTATGGGTTTCAGATTGCTGGTTGTGGTGGAGGGTCAAATGGGTCTAGTTTTTATCATGGGTGTGGGTTTGTTTGGTCAGGGGCTCAGATTTTTTATGGGGTTTGAAGGCTATAAGGTTGATGAAATCTAGGTTTCGATCAGAAGTCTAAATGGGTTTTTTCGTAGGGTGGTCTCGGTTGGTTGGTAGTGTGATTGTGGTGAGAGAGTTGTGATTTTTTTGTTGGTTCAAAGGGGGATTTCTGTTGGGGGAGTAGGCTGTGGAAGGTAGTTATAGAGATGGTGATTGGTGGTATGGGTTGTTTTGATGATGCTGGTGATTTGAGGGTGGCAGGTATGGCCACGATGAAAGTTCTTGCTGTTCTTGCTTTTTTTTCTTTTTTGGTTGGTTAACGGTATTGGGTCAGTGGGGGATGGTGGCTGGTGATTTGAGGATGGCTGAAGGATAATTCTGTGAAATTTTTTGTGAAGGAATTTTTTCTCTCTATCCTTTCCTTATTGTTGTTTGGCCAACTACTATCTTTCTCTATGAATTGTCTTCAATTTATCAATAAAAGCTTGTTGCCTAAAATCTTGACTTGTTGGGGCTTGCAGGGTCTAGTTACAGGGTCTGGTTGTAGGGTCTGTTTGCAAGGTAGTGGTTTGTGTCATTGCTTGCCGGCCACTACTTATCGACCCCCTTTCTTCTTTTTATTCTTTTTATATTTGGCATTTTATTTGTTTGTTTTTTTGTGATTTTTCATTTTTTAATTAATAAAAACTAAAAATGAAATTAGATTTTAAATTAAAATTTGGGTTCCATTGATCTTTTGGGCCTCTAAGATAAATCTTGGGCCTTGATTATCAGATTTCGACTTTTAAAATTGATTCAATAATGAAATGGTATTAAGTTTGAGTTAATGCAAAAATATTCTCAAAATAGTTAATCCTAAGTAAAGCATAATCGAGCTCAATCTGATAAATTTAATTAAAATGAATAAATTAGCTCAAATCAAAATATTCAAGCCAAGTATAAAATTGAATAAACTCAAATTGATATTATCTAATTCATTACCAATTCAATTATTCATAATTCGATATTAAATTAATTTGAAGTCCTAAAATGACTTTGTTAATACACGCTAAAAGGCTAAAATACAACAATTGGGAGCTAACCAATCACAAGTGAAGCATTTACAACAAAGTTACCAAATCATGTGTCTGAGATACTCCAGCTTTAGCAAGGCTATTAACAACGGAGTTCGCTTATGCGTTTAAATGTGATCCCTTAATATCACTTAAAATTTTGAGATTTTATGTTCAAATTATATTGTGTAGGTTTTGTTATTTAATTATATTCTAATTTAGTAGAGTATTATTCAGCGACTGCAATTTGATTATAATATAATAATTAATTATTTAATTAATTATATGAATATAATATTTAATTATAATTATAATTTTAAAAAATTATGATTAGAAATGTGCTTCATCTGTCAAGCCGCTATTGAACGATTGTTGCACCAGAAATTTGCATTAGTAGAGTCGCATGTTCTAACAATCCATATTGTCTACAGCAACCGAATAACGTATATTCTTTTTTATTTATCTAATAACGCATTCTTTTTAGTAATGAAAATGTTGAAGAGACTTATTTGGTGTGGAGAGATTGAGTGACTCTCAAAATAAAAAAAATAAAAAAATTATCCTTGCCATGTTTTGCCCAAACAGCAAATTACCCATATGCAAGAATTTTTATTTTGGAAAATATATTCTTATTTTTCAAGTGGTTGACGTATAACAAATTAGTAAATAGTTACACCTTTCCAAAGTAATAAAAGAAGTTCCTCTTGGAAGGGCAATTCTATAACCACATCTCTCTCTGACATTCACATATTCCTTTATGTTAGATTTGATAATCCACATACATATTTTTTTTATTAAATTTGATAATTCATATATTTATATCATATAAAATATTAATAATTTATATATTTATATAATGTTTTATATAAAAATTACGTATTATAAATAAAACGGATACAAAAAGAATAAAATATGTATTTTTATTTTTATTAAATTTATATTTAATATTTACTAAAACTTTAAATTATATCACTTTTATTTTTTTATATTATTTTTTATAATATTTTAAATGTGATATCTAAATTTGGTTCATAACTATAATACTCTAATGATTGGAAATCATTACATTAGCAATTTCACTTTCGTGAAATGTACATTAGAAAGGAGCCATTGGCTGATTTTTCTGGCATACCAGGGTGTTCTGTTTAGAATGCTAATTATTATTGTCAAACAATAATTAGATTTAACAATTTCAAACAATTTTAAACACTGATACCAGATTTGAAACTATTGGCCAACTTCCAAAGTTACATCTTTTCTGGGATCGGGTGGAATTCTGTGCAAGTGTCTCTGGAAATATTCTTTTGTCTTGGACAGGTGTGGCTAGCATGTGCTCCCTCGGTGCGGATAGCATCAGATTCACTCGAACGCTTCTACTTCCTTCTCTAAGCCTGCACCCACCGCTCCCCTTCCCCTTCTCTAGGAAGCAAGCAAAAGTCTGACCATGAGAAGGACAGGCTTACTTATCCCGACCAGCAACTTGTTAGGGAGTAGGGGCATCCATCCAAGCTTGCCCAACCTAGTAAAGGGGCTTGGACCTTTTTAAGCCTTTTTGCGATGATCTTTGTGACATATTTATATATACGTTGCTGCATGAGATGGGTGGAAATTCCCCCAAAATATCCAGTGTTGACTTCCTAAACTAGAACTGAAACTGATTAATTGATCTCAAAAGCATTTCCTATCTCCATCCTCTTTGAAACCATAGATGAAAGAGGCAGAGAAGAGGTTACCATCGGACTTAGAGATGTGACAGATATAAAAATGATATTAAAATTAATAAAAATTATATATGAATTTAATATTTTTTATGTTTTATACATATCTAATAAAAAATAAACACAATATATATACAAATTAAAAATGTTCAAATCTATTAACAACCATGAAAAGTCAATCTCTATACAATTCTCAAATTTTTTTTTATTTTTCTCTTGATTTAGTGTCACTGACGTCAAATTTAGTTAGAGATTTTAATATTTAGTAGTATAGATTAAGAGGAGTTGAATGAGAAAAAATAACTTAAAAAATTAAAAATTAAAAAAAAGGGTAAAATTAAAAAAAATTTAATAACATCAAAAGACAAAAAGATTGTTGTTGAAAAAAAAAAAAAAAAGAGAATTTCACTACTTCCTACCATCATCAATAAACTATAGAGAAAAGCTCTTGACCTAAAACAACAAACTCATCATAGCTAAAAATCTTCATTAACACAAAAAAATAAAAAATAATAATAATGCAATAAATCAATCGTCGATCCAAGAATACTGCTTACGAATTTCTTCTTCTTCTTGAGGAGTAAAATCATTCTTGATTCCAAAAGTTTGACGAATTTCCTCAACAGTTTTGCTTGCTTTGATCATATCAGCAACTTGTTTGGCTACTCGTTTGAGCAACTTCTCAATGTTGAGATAGTTTGCAGCCATGAAAAGCTCGTTAAGACTAACTCTATCAACATCAAGAAATTCCGATTCCCAACTGTTGAATTCTTTTTCGACGTCTGCAACGTTGTTTGCTTCCACGTAATCCACATGGTTTTTGCACCATTCGATTATCATCGTTAAGGTCCTGCTATGCACCCTGAACAATGGAATCACACCAGTGGCGCAACCATCTTCGATCATGTTTTTGATGAGCTCAGATTGCATGGCTACGGATTCTTCAACCTCGAAGATTTGGTTGTCTTTGCTCATCAGCGTCAAAACCTTGGATGTTGACATGGTTTTTTTCTTTGTTTATGATAGTTGAAAAAAAGAAAAACAAAAAGAAAACAGACGAAAGTTTTTTGTCGACGGAGAGATTAGGGTTTTTATATATATAACTTTTTTTACAGTATTTGGCCTTAAAACTAGATCGGTTTAAAAAACAGATTATCTGCTCAAATTTGAAGGTTTGCCTAAATTTTAAAAAAAAATTTGGACAAAAAATTAAAATCTATTAAATGGATTTGACATAATTTTCATACCAATTTAAATTTCAGACTGAGCCTTAAAAAAAATATTTAAATTTAAGTTTGGTTCAATCCAACCCGAATTTACATATATATATATATAAATTTTTTATTTTTATATATATGTGAATTAATTTATAATTTATATAATATAATTTTTATTTTTATTTTATATATATGTGAATTAAATATAATTTCATTAAATTTAATTTAATAACATTGTTTTAATTTTTTATTATATAAAATAAATTTAATGAATAATTTCGATTTATTTTTTAAATTAGGGTCAAACTTGAAAAAATTTTGAGGAGTGAAATTTCAGATAAATCACATCTAAACAAGTATATAAACTATTACTATCAAATATGAACCGGAGCCGAACCCAATCCTGTTCAGACTCATGCAAACCTCTATCAAGGTCTAATCTTTCTTAGAGTAGGTTTTATATTTTATAGTTTTGAATTATACTAGAATTCCAACTCTAGAATTTTAATCTTAGAATCGACTTTAAATTATTAAATTTTATTTTATTAGTCCTTATCTTATAATTTTGGGCTTTTATTGGACAATCTTATTTACATATTCATCAATTTTTTGTTTTTCAAAAATATAATAATAATAGACTAATTTCTATTTGAAAGGAAGTTTACTTTCCATACAAGAAAAGATAAAAGCCCTTTTCTAACCCAAACAGGACTTGACAGAAGCATTAGTATATATATATGGTACCGCAAGCTCATATTTGACGACTTAATATTTCAATTTGCTTCCATCAAAGTTTTGTCTGTAGCGGCCATGACTTCCTTTGCGAAAAGCAATACCAAAAACCAACCTCCATTGTTGTTTTTGTTGGGAGAGCTCAATGGTGAAACCAAGCATGCTTTCCTTGATCCTGTAAACCAATCTCCATTCTTGAGTGAGGCAGAGTTTACCGAACTTCAATTCCAGGTTGAGTGTTTGTCATCAGGGCATGGTTGGTTACTTCTACTATCCCGGCAAACCTCTTCTCTTTTCTTTTTCAACCCCTTTACCCGTCAAAAAATCGATCTTCCATATCGATCATCTGGTTTCACTGCTGTTGCTTTCTCTGCACCCCCAACATCTCCAGATTGTGTTGTTTTTGCGATCCAACATCAGTATGGTATTCATTGCCGTACCAACTTCCATGTAGATGTTTTACGTGTTGGGCAAGAAAAGTGTTGGAATCGATATCCATATCGAGTTGGGAAGGATTTTGGTGTTCTGATGCATGCAATTTGCAATGATGGGATTTTGTATTGTATGGATTCTTGTGGAAGGATTGCTACTTTTGATGCCAATAAAAAAGGAGATACTTGGACTGAAATTTCGAGCAAGAATTTCAAGCAGGTTCGTCTTTCTTGTTTCTTCAAATTCAACGGTGAACTCTATGGAGTTAAGCTGTATGGGAATTATGGCGCTGTTGAAACAGTTTATAAACTGAAGCTTGAGAATGGGGTTGCAGCAGCTTGGGAAGAGGTCAATGATATGAGAGACCATACTATGTTTCTTGGCCCTAGCGGTTCTTGCGCTGCAGTTGGCCTGGATGAAAAGCTGTTGCAAAAGAAAATTTTCTTGGCCAGGGACGACCCCACATCGAAGTCTCTGATCTTTGATTCTGATGAAGGAAACTATAAGAAGACTGCAACGGTATCTGCATCAGAGTATAGCTGGTGCTATACATCAGTTTGGATCGAAAGATCAGCAGTTTAGTTTGACCTTTTAATTAGTTTCCTTTTAGTTTGTATAGATGAGATTTTATATTACATTGTCTAATAATGGAACCAGTTCAATGATGTGGTTAAATTTATCAAACTGCAAAACAGAATTATTTCATAAATAAATTAGTGATTTTAGTTGAATTGAGTGTGTTTTTAACCTCACTCCTAGAAAGATTGCATTTTTTTAGACATCAAAATGTGCAAATTCTGTCAATTATTCCCTCATATTTTGTAACCAAAGGAGAGACTACTTTCCTTCTTACCAAACATAATGTTAGAATAAAGATGAAAAAGGGAAAAAGCAGATCATCTCATTACCAATACAACAGTCTGACAAAAGTGGTTCTGACATGCCAAAAAATTATACAACAGATTCCAAAATCATATTTCTTCCCCATCTATAAAAGGAAAAAGTCCTACACTAAACCACAAATTTCAGGGGTAACAAAGGTTCTGAAAACAAAGTCATGATTCCTCTTCACTGGCCTCAGCAGCAGCAATCTCAGAATCCAATTTGATTGTTAGCTGCTCACTTACATGTTTTGCTACAGATATCATGTCAAGAATAATGCTTGGATCTAGGCCTGCACCACCGCGTTTGGTAAGGCCACAAATGTGTCCTTTCCGGTTAACTGAAATTGAGACAGCCGAGCTCATTTGCGATTCCTCTTCTGAAGTAGCATCAACAATATAGTGCCTCCCCACCTAATTAAAGAGCAGAAGGCAAGAAAATAAAGATGAAATAGCAAAACTTCTTTTTAAACAATTGAAAAAAATTTTAGCAGAACAGAAGAGCTGCTTTACCCTTGTTAGTGTAACTATGACAGGGATCCCAGATGTGTCAAACTGTAGAAACTCTTCATCACTTATGTTGACTTCAGGTTGTTCATCACCTGTTGTCTCCGCTGCAAGATCAACCTTTGGGATGCCAGTATTGCTTAAAGCAGCCTTTGCAAACAACAAAGTTGAGTTGTTAAGTTTGAGTTTTGAGAACCAGTACAATCACCATATGTATCAGAGTAAACTAACAGAAGGCATTTAAAAAGGTGAAGTACAAAAGGAGATTGACAGAAAAGAACTTTGTTTATTTTTGTGGCAAAAGGCTGTTTTACTTCAACCCTTGACTTAAATGTGAAGCACTTGTGTGAACATGACAGAACTCAAGAATATGGCTCATAGAGATTTACATGAAAACTGTAAATTGATGCTAAATGGAGACGTCACTGTGCCTGATACCAATAAATATAGGATACAGGCAATCAAAAAGTTACAAATGGTTACACTAATTACGAAGTGACCAGTGAACCTGATAATAGCGTATAGTTGCTAACACTTGAATTGGCTAAGCCAGTCATTAATGCAATCAGCTGTTATCAGACAAGACGGCACTGGTTATGAGCACATCGTGAGAGTCATAAGACTTGGGGAAGGCCAATGCATTGTACCTTCCTGTTTACTGCATGTTGAGTGCTATTAGAGGAGGGAGAAATTTGAGTGACTCAGGAAAATCATTAGGAGTTGATTATTGGGAAGATCTTCACTGAATTTGACAACGTAAGTCGAGAAAACAGACTTGGATTGAACATAAATGATTCAGATCTCATTTCATCTAATAACAGGTATAATTGCTTTTCTGTACTTGCAGTTAATTTGAAATTTAAACCCATCACAACCAAATCAAGAGAGAGAGAGAGTAAAATACCTTAATGGCAGCAGCAAGGGCATCTAGCAAATTCCCATCTGAACTAATAACAAGGCCATCAATATAGAGATCCCAGCACACTTTTCCTTCCACAACCACCAGAGATGAGGGATCGATTCCAGCTCCTGGCATAAATGGTTTAAGATAATTACATTCTCAAACTGAAGAAAAGCAACAAAAGCTAAAATGACAATGAATTACAGGAGAGTGACCATCTGTGAGAATATCTACCTGCCCCACTTTTACCCCCCAAGAGGCAACGTTGCAGAGCAATGGAGAGTTCTGTTGACAACTCCTCACCCCCTCTACCCTGTGCAAAATTAAATACAAGAATTTAACGCATAAAACGAAGTGAATAATGGATTATGCATAACATAATGGAGGACTAAAGACAGACAAACCTTGCTTACTCATGATTACAGAGTAGTATGTACAAAAAGCAAGAGGAAGAACATAAAGACTCACAGAGTTAGTCACTTCCACAGCACATTTGATCAAAAGAGAAAAGGAAACTCATACACTCACACGCCCACACACCAAAAGCGGGATTCACAAGTCCAACCATCCAAGAAAGAGATAATGGCATTTAACCCACAACTACTCCAAAAGGGCCTGCAACTAGCCATTTACAACTCTTTGTAAAGATCATGTTCTCCAAGGAAGATGATTGATAATTGCATACATGGATGTTTAAGCGTGTGTATCATAAAACTTGAAAAATTATTCACCCTTCCAAAACACATCCCCATCATTACTTTCTATGTAAAAAAAATTGCAAATATTATCTTAACCAACTAACAATGAAATAAAATAAAGCAATACAAAAATATTCATGTGACTTCAACCAATTCAATCAAAAAAAGGAAAGATTTCAGCAGTAAAGCAAAACCACCTCAAACACTGGTGCTGCAGTTGGACTACAATCAACATATATAGCAATCTTTCCTTTGTCAGATTGCAATGCGCTTGGTTTTCCAAGTTCAGCCTACAAAAACATAAATTACTCAAACCATATACCGTACACCTAAGACGAAAAAAAAACACTTAGAAAATTACAAATGTTGGCATCTAATGAACAAATACCTTGACACTGGCAATAACATCAGTTGCACCAAGCCTAACTCTTGCCGAACCATGTGCCTATCACAATACCCTCCAATGAAAATTCATCCAAAAGAAGGCTAAACATATGTACTGTTTGTTGGGAGTAAAAAGTAACTAGAAGAATATCCCATACCTGTGGAATAACCCCAGTTTCAACATATATGGGTCGGTAAGTTAACCTTTTTCGACCATCTGAACGAAGGTCTTGAGCAATTCCACCTTGTATGAAATGCTTTTCTCCAACAGAAAGTCCCACCATTGCTGTAAATCCACATGAACAGAGGAATTCAAAGCCAATAAAATGAGATTTTTGTCAAAGAAAAAGCCAAAAGGAGCATTAATAAACTAAAACAAAAAATACCTTTCACGTCCACTGCGAAGAATCCGATAGGAATAAAATAATTTTCCGTTAGGGTTTTGGGTGAGCGAGAAGTAATTTTAGGGTTTTAGAGGGGTTTAGAGAATTCGGGAAATAATTTTCCGGGTTTGTGTTTTCCTGGAAATTATTAGGCAGTAAAAGTACAATGGTTTCAATTTTCTTATGTTTTATTTACCAGATTTTTTATAAAGTTTTATTGATATTTTTATGAATTTTTAATCAAATTTTAGATATAAGTAAATGACTTAAAAATAATGTTTTATCATAAAAAAATTAACATCAATTTTTATTTTTTTTCCTTGCATAACTAAAAAGCAACTATTAGAAAATAAAAAATAAAATCGTTGAAGCCTAAAAGTTATTAAAACTAAGGAAGAAATGGCAAACTTTTATATTAAAATATTTCTTTGTGTACTTGTCAATAATCGAACTTGGACGAATTAAACCAAGGATGAGATGATGGCATCTTCAGATTGCTTCAAATCCTATGGGTTATTTTCTTTCATAAAATATATACTAAACTAGTTTTTTTCACCCGTATCATGCACAAATTTTTTATTATATTTTTTATATTTTAAATTTTAATTTATATAATATTTATATTATATATATAGATAAATAAAAATATTGGTAGTCATTTATAATTTATAGTTTAAAATTATAAAAATCGTTTATATATAAATTATTATGAAATAATCCAAATAAACTTTATAAAAGTTTGAATTATGAAAAAAAAATTACATACAAATCTTAACGAGAAAGTTAATTTCTTGTTTACAATTATATATAGTGATTAGATGTATTTAATAAATATTTAGTGATTTTATGTGACGGTGATATTAAATTATAAAGAGTGATTAGATTATTATTTATGAGAGTAATTTAATTTTCATACAAAATAGTAAAAAAAATTTTATCACAAAATAAAAGTAATATGTAAAATTAATGACAATCAATTGTATTTATTTAATATGTGAATTAAAATTTAATTGCATCTTAATATTATAATTATTTTATATTTTCAAACTAGTATTTATTATAATAAGTTCAAAATAATTTATGTATTTTTTACTTTTTTTATATTTTATATATAACATAATATATTTTTTTATTATGAATTTAATAAATTGGTTTTATTTTCAAATTCAATCTCTTGTTCACAATTACATATACTTTTTAGGATAGTGTTTGGTATAGGATGGTCACTCCAAAAATCATGGTGATTTACATATGTTGATTAGATCACTGTATTTGGTAAGCATTCAATAATTTTATACGGCAGAATATTGGATCACCGAGATGATGATATAATTCTTACACAAAATGATAAAAAACTTTTATTATTGAGGTGAAACGATATATAAAATTAATAATAGTTAATTGTATTCATTTAATATGTAAATTAAAAATTTATTACATCTTAAAATTACAATTATTTTATATTATAAATTATATATTTTTAAATTAATATTTATTATAATAGGTTCAAAATAATTTACGTATTGTTTTACTTTTTTAAATATTTTATATATAATATAATTTTTTATTTTTCATTTATTATGAATTTAATAAATTGTTTTATTTTTAATTCAATTTTTTTACATAATTTATATTATAAAAATCAATTTACTTATCAATTAATGTATTTATTAATTTATTAATTTAACAATTTAATTATATTTAATATAAAATAAATAAATATTATTAATGTTTTATAAATTATTATCTTTAAACAAACATAAAATTATTAATTTGTATAGCTATTATAATATGCATGATTATTTTCGTACTTTAAAAAATAAAATAATTTTTAATTTTTAATAATATTAAATATAGTAATCTTTAATTCCTAAAAATTAATCATTGTTAATTAAACAAAATGATTTCAAATCACAAGTATTAATATCATCTTGGTAATAAAATTACTCCAATAATTATGTTACCATGGTAATTTTGTAAAAGATACCAAACGTTATCTAAAAGTATATATTATTTTAATATAAAACCTAAAATTTACATATGTGATATATCATGCAAGACGTAAGATTTACACATGTGATATATCATGCAAGACTTTTTCATATTTGATTAGGATATTTTATCACAGTAAACTTTTGTGACAATAATCTAATTGATTTATCTTTTATAAAGAAGAAAATATTGATTGTGAGAAAAAATCATAAATATATATTTAATAATTATTTAATTTTAAAAATATAGTTTATCTAAGTTTAATTTTAAATTAAGATAAAATATGTTAGTATCATTTTAAATTTAGATATGTGTGTAATTTAAATTGAGATAAAATATATTTCTCTTTTATTTTAAATCATAAAAAAAATAAAGGTAAAAAATTTTATAAGTAATAGGAATTCAATTACAAACTTTATTTATTTAAATATACACAAATACTGACTTGGACGATGTATGATTTTTTATTATTCCTAAAATTTAGAGCTTTATCTTTTAAAAACTATTTGAATTTTGTATTTCATATAAATGAATAAGAGTGAAATATGAGATATATTTTTTCAGGTTTAAATTAGAATAAAACTTATATATTTTGAAAGTTTTGGATAAATATAAATTCTGAAACTTAAAAATTTTTAAAAATTAAATAATTGATTGAATAAAATTCTTTAGAATTATTCTGCGTGTTAATTATGTAAGTTATCTAACCTCAGTATTCACGTAAGCAAATCTTATCAAATTTTTATGAATGTTATAATATAATAATATAATATTATATATAATGATAGTTAATTTTAGCTTGGTAAATCATTTATTTATATTGTATTTATTTCGTATCAAATATGTATTAAATATAAAATAATATCATAATTCATATTCATACAACAAAGATAAAATACATATTTTTAGCTTTTTATTTTTACTAAATCCATATACAATATTTATTAAAAATTAAAAATTAAAATTATATTCTTTTAATATAACATTTTCATATCATTATATCCGGTTTAAAATTATCAGAATTTATTTAATTATAATTTCTATTAACATTAGATTTTATAAACAACGAAATGTGAAAATAAAAAATCGAAGCACAATCTACAGTTTTAGTCATTAATCTAAATCCACAATGCAGCAATTTAAAGATTTCTACCATCTACCAAAAGCTGAAGAAGGAATTGGCTGAATTTACTCTAATCCAAAGAAGCAAATCCTAAAGACCATTCATTCTTAAAGATGGCAAAATAATCCACATACAATGAATTTGATTTATTTCATATGATAAAATTAGAATTTTTTTTTTTAAATTGAAGGTTGAATAGGATATGAGTTTAAAATTTTGGAAGTCGAATTCTGATTAAGTTGCACTGTCTCGATCTAAATGTATATAAAAAAATATTTTTATTATTTATTTAATTTGATATTTATATATTATATTAATAAAATTATTATTTAATATTTTAATTTAAGATATTAATTTAATAAAAATATCTTATTTATATAATTACAATATAATTTATATTTTAAAAATAATATTTATAAATATTATTAAATTAATTTTGTACCAAATATAACCAATTTGGATTTATAAATATATAAATCAAATCAAATAAAATTAATAATATTTTAATATCCCAAAATTAAATGTAGATATTAAAAAATAGTTGAAATCTGATCTAGCAAAAACTCCCCCAGTCCAATCATTTGCCAGTCCTAGTTCCTAAACTATAGGGATTCCCAACCTTTTCGAGATCTCAACAGGCCACCACCCCATTGTTTCAACACAAGCTGTGCCATCTCCAAAACCTTTGCTCTTAGTCACAGCAGGAAAACGAACCTGATAAACATAGTTGAATTGCAACAAAGGATTCAAAATCATAAATAATCTCCATATTCATGTCAACTACTTTCAACATATTATGCCACGATTCATTCAACTGAACACTAGAAACAACTTCGGCGACTTCGACCAACAGGGTGCCGATGCCATTACAGAAATTCCTTATAAACCATCTAATACTAGAGTCCTAAACATAGAATCAGAACAAGCACAATGCTAACAAGAATTTATAAAATTAGCCGTCGTACTCCCTCTGTGCAACCTTGTTCTCCGGATAGTACACGGCGATAACTTGATTTCCGCCAAATTTCCGACCATTCATTGCAGCTTGGGCTTTTTTGGAGCCTTCGACATCTGAGTACTCCAGAAATACCTAATGACACCGGAGAATTACAGTCAGTAACATAGGGGAGCTAAATATAGAGCAACTAAGCCGAATGACCAAGATAATACATTCACTTATGACTCGGATGCATAATTAAAACTAGACATTGATAAAATAAATAAAAAGTAAGAAAAAATGGTAAAAAGGATCAAAACTGACCTTTCCTACACCTGGAGATGGTTCTCCACTTGGATTTGGGCGTGGGATGACAACATTCACCAATGCACCTGCATATTACGTGTAAAAATTTCGAATCCACCAAAAAATTTAAAAAAGCTTTTTTTTTTCCAAAAAGAATTGTCAGAGAAAGCAGTATCAAGTAAATATAGATAAAAGGATTAGGAAGTCTTCTGTCTGTGTATGTTAGGCCTGATTCTTTATAGCAGAATGTGGAACAAGAAAGGGCTGTAAAACAGAGATATAAACACAAAACAAGATAAAGAAAATTAATAAAAATATATATGAGACTTCGCATGTTTAAAAAGATGGCCAGGTAATAAAAAAAATGCACCAGATTGTTTAAGCAGAAATTTACCATATTTTCCACCCTCTTGTCTCATGTCTTCCACAATGTCTTCATACTCCTCATCATCTCTGAGATCATCCACATTAAGTGCTTGAGTCAAGCAAACAACCTTTGTAGGCATGCCTTGTGGTTGCAAAATAAGCCTCTGAAAAAGAAAACAATCAGCAAATTAGCCTACAAACCACACCTAAAAACAGCCCTAGATTACAATGGATGTGATGGTATAAGATATATTAAAACAAATGATGTAATCTCACCTGAAAAGCAATCTGCTGCTGTGCATGCTGGAGTATACTCTCTTGCTCAGGTTTAGGCTGAGTAGCACCCTGGTTTGCTCGCCTAACGGTGAGAGTTTTATCACCCATTTTAATTCCATTTAGAGCTGCACAAGCTATATCTGTAACTGACAGGTCTTGATAAACACAAAAAGCATAGCCTTTTGAGTTTCCAGTTTCTCTATCTTTTACTAGATCAAACCCTCGAAGAGGACCAAAAGACTCCAATAGCTCCCGGATCTGTGCTTCTGTGAAGTAGTAAGGAAGCCCACCAACAAATATGCGGTCTGGACCCTCAAGCCCACCAGTGGAACCTGTAGTTAGACCCACAGCAGCTAGATTTAGATTGGGATTGGGCTGGCTTGGACCAAGAGTTGCAGCAAGTGAGGGATTATAGTCACTAGGTCTCCTCACCTTCACAGGTGCTCCCTGAAAGTGCAAACAGGTTAATGCAACTTGTTGTATTTAAATGATAGCAGCATCAAGATCCAAAAGAAAATATAAATACCTCAAATATTATCCCATCTAAAGCCATTGCATTACTGGCCTCTTCAACTGATCTCATCTCTACAAAAGCAAACTTCTTTTCATGGTTTATGTAGACATTAACAACAGCATCCCCTGAATACAACATAAAAGGATGAGCAACTACAGAAGAAATAAGGCAGGTATTTATGTCATGCAATATATATATATATATATATATATATATATATATAAACCATCAGTATACCTGGACCAGCAGTGTTTCCACCAATTGCAGCCATGACATGGCTAAAGAAGGTCGCAACGGACTGTCATATATTAAGGGTCAGTATTGGCTTTATATGCAAGCATAACAACAAGGATGCAATCGTAAGAGTAAAACCTGTTCATTAGCTGCAGGAGGAAGTCCTCCAACATAGACCCGACGAGCATGCCTAGTAGCCTGAAATCACAAGATAAATTCCATAAATTTCTGTAAAATAAGAAAAAATTTTCTAAAAAAAGATATAGAGTACAAAGTATGCATAATCCTCCCACCTGCTGCGTCATTGCCTGAACTGGCATAACAGGGAGAGCACCAAAAGGCTGCAGCAAACCAAAATTAACCAATGTTACAACACATATAGCAAGGTCAAAATCATCAGGTGCATGAAAGAAATATATACCTGACTGGTTGCAAGAGGAAACATGTTTGGAAAAACTCCAGGTAAGGTTGGACTAGTCCCAGGAATCTGGCCTGAAAGGAAATTCAGATTTCATATGAGGATATAAAGTCATTTCTAGAGCAGTTGATTTAACATAAGGACTTTTATGCCACATTTCCTGTAGAATATCCAGACCCCTTCTGGTTTTAGAGATCGAAAAAAATTTCATTACATGCAACTTCGGGAAGAAATATTTAGCAAGACTATCAAAACAGGCAATAGATGCCAGTTAAAGACGTACAATACCATCAAAACTGGTGCATTGATTCCTCCTTGTACATAAAAGCTACAGAAGCTGGCTCACGCCATTGCCGTCTTACAACAAAGACAAAGACACAGAAACAAACAAAACAAACACCAAACAGAAGACAAAACCAAAAACTCTCAGTTCCAGAATTATTTCACCAAGTAAAAAAAATTTAAAATAAAGTTATAGTCCTTCCACAAGATCATTGCTTAAAGGCAATATATAGAAGAAAAAATACAGCTTACCAAAACCACACCAGTATTTTGATACGAACTTTCCACACTAGATCATCCAAAAACAAAAATGGCAGTTAACAAAGTATAACGATCTTAATTTTTTGGGAAAGGCCTATGTACCTGCAGCAGCAGCTACCACAGCACCAGTAGCTAACATTGCTGAAGCTGGAGGGGCCATGTCAAAACCACTAATCCTTTTGCTGCAAAAAGAAATTAAGTTAGCATATCAGGAACTAGATTATATAGCTGACACCATCTCATTTTCACTAATGATCAAGTTTTTTATGATCTACCTCTTTGAGCGTGAGCGAGATCGAGATCGGGATCTTGACTTTGATCTGTGTTCAGATCTACCCGTAGAACGGGATCGGGACTGGTGCCTATGCCTGTCCTCCCTGTCTCTGTCATAGTCCCTTCTTCTGTAAATAACATTTAAGTAAATATAACTCATTAGCAAGTAATCATTAGCAACAAGAAGAAAAGAACGTTTGAAATGATTAATACTGAAATTACCTGTCATAGTCTCGACTCCGATAATAATCATCATCATCTCGATCTCTTCCCCAATCCCTCCTCTCACTGCGTCCCCTACCACGATCCCTCTGACGATCTCTGTGATGGCGCTCCCGATCACGATCCTTTTCTCGGTCCCTATCTCTATCCCTGTCCCTACGGCGATCACGATTTTTGTCCCTTTCCTTGTCACGCCCTTTCTCTCTCTCCTTTTCCCTACTTCTAGAGGACTCTCTCTCATAATCCCGAGATTCATGCTGCAAATAGTTAAAGTTACATTTAATTTATATCACTAAAAAAAACAAAAGTCAAAGCACAAACATAAAATTTACAGTCAAGAAAGTTATTTTCCAAGAAAAAAAATAGTTTTCTCATAATAAAGAATAAACCTGGAGGGCTTTCACTTATTTACTCGCTCATAGCTTAGAACAAAACTAAGTAGTAAAAATTTGATTGAAAAGACTACTTATCAAACTAGCCATATTCAATAAGATAAAATATAATTTAACACCTAAGCATTTGTGCATACTCAAGATCTGAAATAGGCAAGAACATCAACAAAACATAGTTGGGTCATCGGTATGTACATGTATTCCCTGCTCAAAAAGCCGGGATCTTATCCCCCCTTCCCCCACAATGATACTTGAAAAAAAAAAAGAGGATAAAATCAGGAATCATAAAATCATTTTCTAATGTTTAGTTTAGAACAAAACTAAGTACTATATGTAATTGAAAGGCTATTTGTCAAACTAGCCAAATTTCGAGATACAAAACCTAGTTCAAAGAAAAAGTTGAACCATAAGAATTGACAAGCTCCCACCAAAACCCAAGGTTAAAAATTTTAGAGCTCCAATTGATTGTTACATTGCTGCTATTTTCTTTTTCCTTTTTCTATTTGTTTCTTCAAAAGTCTACCAAAAATTAAAATCCAGCGATTTAAAGTCAAATCAATGAATTTAACATAAACAAAAGACTGATATGTAACACTAATTCTAAGGCAACTGTTCAATTTAAATATAAAATTATACATTTTTTGTTATAATTCTTCAACCAATATTATATATTTTCTTTTTAGCCATTAGCAAGTTTTCCTTTCAGATTTCGCTAATACAAACAACCAAACAATACCTTAAAATTTTCAGAAAGAAAAAAAATCCAAAAAAAAAAAAAAACTAACATAAATTTCTTCAAAATTCTTCCAAAACTAAAAATATAAAAAGCAATTAAAAGTGTAAAAAGTGGATATTAAGCTAAAGTTTTAAGTGATCTGACCTGAGATTTAGAATCGTTTTGATCATCGGAACGAGGCTGAGGAGAAGAACCTCCGCCATAACTGTTTTCGGTGTTGTCTACGTTTCCTTGATACAGCGCGTCTTCGTAATCAGTCATCCTTTTTTTTTTTTTTTCAAGCTTTGGCAAGAAGTACGATAACTTCGAAATCTCAATCGCGAAATCCCGAATCTCTAAGTTGAATTGTCGGCTAGAAGAAGATGAAGAAGCAGCAATAGCCCACAGGAATTTTATTAGGGCATGGTAAGTAAATTAGGTCGTTTTTATTTTAATTCCAATTTTGGGGGCCCATAATCTATTTCAATTGGGTTAAACTAAATGGCCCATAAAACAAAAGGATTAGCATGTATGGGCCTTTTGAAATTTTGATTGTTGGGCTTTTGCTGAGATGTTGTTTATTACTCTAAAACTTTAACTTAGATACAAAATCACGAATGTATTTTTTTATGACAAAATGAGAGTAGCTTGTAAAAAACTTTACCTTTGATTTCCGGAACTCGATTAGATAGAATCGTTTATAGTGTCGGATCGGGTCAATAGTTGGATCAATAAAATAATTAAAATATATAAATATTTTTAAAAAATCATTATGTGATATAAAAGAATTTTATTATTCTAGAAATTTTAATGCTTAAAAATTAAATTTATAATATATTATGCGAGAAATTTTCATATAAATTATATATAATAAGTTTACAAAACTAGTTAAAAATTAAAACTTCTACCTCAAAAAGTAGTAGTCAAATAACTCAAACCTTTTACTTTAGTTTTTTTTTTTAATAAAAAAACCTTTGTAAATTTTAATATTGTAATTTGTTGGTAATTTTTAATTTTTTTTGTTATTAATAATTATTTTAAATATATTATTTTGATTAAATGCTGTAAGAACCTATAAATTTATTTTAAAAAATTAAATTAATCATGTTTTTAAGGTTATTTTACAAAGAAAAGCCAAATCCATCCCGTTTAATCAAAACTCATCAAGTTCACCGGTTTAATAATAAAATCTTCGGTTCTCAATGCTTTAATCTGGATTAAATGCATGAGCAATCTAATAACAAAACCAAGACGGTTTTATCATCGGATCATGGATTGAACCGATCCAATCAACAATCCAGTCCTGATAACTATGACAATGCCATTTATTAATAAAATATTAAACTCTTAATTCTATAATTTAATTCCTAACCACCTCAAACACAAAAACAAAAATAATGAAACTGCGAACTGAATTCGGAAGTTGTATTTTTCAGTGAGGCCTCTCCTTCATTTTCATGCCAGGCAAGCTTCATGATTAACAAATAAACCTAAGGTAAGGGCAGTTGTGAAACTACAATCAAAATTACCAAAGGGGAATTCACTGCAGTCTTTCCATTAAACTCATGTTGGCTAGAAAATGAAGATCAATCTCCTTGCTTTGGCACCTTTTCAAAAATCAATTTGCAAACCAAAAGAAACAGAGAGTAGTGAAATGAGTGAAACATAGCATAAAGCAATAATTATTTAGATCCTTTTGACATGACTTGTCAGATATAATCTTTATGGTTACACTGGATCGCTCAAGCATGTGCTGATAATAGCGACTCACAACTGAATGTTTTTAAATGAGATTCAGAATTACATCATAGAGTAAGAAAACATGATGTATGCCACAATATCCACAAACTTGAAATCACAACTATGTAGTTCCAGAACTTTAAAATCTATCCTCCGATCATGAGGATGATGGGCGGGGCAGTCGCTTACCAATTTCCTGCAAAGGATAAGAAAACCTTCAATATGATAAAACTTGACTATGTCAAAACAACTCTATGTAGGGCCGCCATTGCACTTAGATGACAAGACACTAATGCAATGATGGATAAAGTAATCCATTGACATGGATAGAGGTTATTGATAAACAACAAACAAATTAGCAAGATGGATCAGCAAGTTTTCCGAGCAAATGAAAAGAAGGGTCAAAAGAGCTACACAGATTTTGGAGACACAAAGAACTACTACTCTAATTTGAACAGTAATTACATGCTAGTAGTAGTGATCTTATATTATAATGCTGCTGACTAGTTAGAGTGATTCCAATTAAAAGCTTAGTCATAAGACCTGATTTTGGACTTTGGAGAACATTTTTTATACTATCAACGTTAACTGTAAATTCGAAAAAGCTTAATAACTATCAAAAGACCTGTAAATTATGTCTATATAGACTAAAATCTTCCTGGGAGACTGCATATTTGATCACATTTAAGTTGTTAGCTTTAGTAACTCATATAAAACAACCCTTCTATGCAACTTCCATAACTGACAGTAGTGCTCATACAGCATTACTAATCGTTTATAAACTATTTAATTGCATTACGAAACAGATAGAAGAAATACCTCAAACAACTGATTTATGTTATCAGCAGTCTTGGCAGATGTCTCAATAAAGAACATCCCATTCTTCTCAGCATAGTCAATGCCATCCTTCAAGAATAAAACAGCACATGTGAGAAGATAATATTAATTCTAATGCATAAAGGGATCTTTATTCATTCAATTTTGGCACTAACTTGAACTGGTACTTCTCGCTTTTCATGAAGATCAGCTTTATTTCCAACCAAAGCCATCACTATATCTGGGCTTCCATGTTTTTGTAACTCCTGCCAGATGCTAATATACATCAATTTTGGCAACTTTAGAGCATAAAAATCCTTTGAGCTTCAACAAAGTTAAAGTGACACATGAGTTTTGCAGAAAAACACTACCTTTCATCTTCTAAGATATGCAGAATACGAATCAAAGTTGAAAACTTAACATCATAAAATGCTTTTAAAGCAACTTTATAGGAAAGAAGACAAAAAAGAACGAAACAAAAAGACAGGGGAGGGGGTGGGTTGAGAAATTATTGGGTCTTATGAAGAAAACCAAGGTGGGTATGGAAAACCCATTGCAAAGCAACACTCACAAGTAAACTTACAGCAAAAATCATTACTCTATCACTAATAGAACAGGAAAATTCATTAAAAAAGGGGAGCATCCTAAAGCCGTATCAATAACATAATGCAACAGGCCCAATGAGAAAACAGAATAAGCCAACCTGTACTGAACAGAAAATTTAGGTTATGACTCATTCAGAAACCGTATCTTCAGACTCTCTTGAGCAGAAGCAGGTAGCCAGATGACCTGATTAGGCTTAGGCAGTTGCATTACCATCTTGAGCAGACACATTGTTCTCAGCATAGCACGTAAGAAATCTAAATTTTCCTTCCAATGCAATGGTGTGACTAAAATATCATTTTGGGGGGCCAACTAATTTCATCATTTGAAATGTACAATAATTTTTAAAAAAAGAAAGTCAATACCCCTGGAAAAAACTTCATGAAAAAAGACAAAGGCCTTTTTAGAAACTATATAACCCAAAAGAAATGATTTCTTTTAGGCAATATGACAGAAATATCAAACTTGAACTGTAACACCATCTTCCTTGGGACAACTAGTTTATGCCTTTGAATAGAAATACGAGGAAAAAATCCAAATTCCAGAAAACAAGAAACAACAGTAAAATGAGGGTGAGAGGAGCACATAAACTGGATTATTTGCAGTTTGCACTATTAAAGACAGCACATACAATTAGTAAATATTAAAATATCACACCAAGGCACTAATGAAAAATTGGAATAGTTTCTTCAAATGCTCTTCTAGGGGCCTTCACAACTCAAACTTAGATATTCCACGCAATATGTTATCACACCAAGAATACTACTCTAGAACTATGTAAAAGCTAATTCTTATATGAAATGCAGCCATAGCCTATGCAGTAATTTTAGAAAAGTGTTGTTTGAAATTTCACCACAGCCAAAACATTTCACATTCTAAAATGCAAGAAAGTAATAGTAATCCTAAAACAAAAAACACCATTGCAATCCTCAGAAACTACCTTAACCCAATATTGAGCTTTGGTGAAAGAATCTGGGCTAGTTATATCATACACAATAACTGCAACTCCAGCTCCTCGGTAATACAGAGGTGCCAATGCAGCATATCTGAGGGAGACAAAATAAACGATTAATTCTTCCCTGCCAAAGGAGTGTTCATAGCAAAGTAAAATGTATAATGTAAAGTCATAAACTATATTATAATCTCATTTATAACGCAAAACGGCTGAGGCGAAAGGTTCATAATAAGATGCACTTTTCCTATGAAAGTGAAGACATGAACTTGCACATCAACATGGCATTCGAGAACCATACCTCTCTTGTCCTGCTGTGTCCCATATTTCAAACTTAACAGTAGTTGAATCTTGCAAAGCTATTGTCTGTGACAAGAATGAAGCTCCAACAGTTACCTGAAACGATAAAGGTTGACAAATCAGAGAAATCTCATCATAATTGTAATTTTCCACACTTAGAGAGAAGATGCTAACATCAAACAGATTGAGCATGGCTGGATAGAATGAAGCTCAAAAAGAAAGCCAGATGGCCATGTTACAAGTTGATGAATTAAGAGAATACACCTTACCTTGGATGTAGGGTCAAACTGGCCACGAACAAAGCGAAGAACAATACAACTTTTTCCAACTCCAGAATCACCTAATAAGACCAGCTGTTTGAAGCAAAAAGATATTGAAAATTCAGTTGCATAATAAGAATGTACTGAATGGAGATCGTGATGATAGTAACTAGTAATCAATGTATATAAAGAGACTGTGTTAAAAATTACATAACATCATTAGATCCAGTTTTCAGCATTCAAAACTAGGTAATATATTAGTCAATCTTTTAAATGTTATTTTCAAAATTAAATGCTAAATGGAGGGAGTCAACAAACATGCTTAGCAAATTACTGTTAAAAATGTGCTAAAAAATTTGCATTTAAGATGATTAGGATCTTAAATTTCATAAATGCACCCTAATTATAATCTAAAACATGCAGCTACCTATCCCTAACTTTTAAACTGAATATAAAATCTTAAGTCTTTTATCCCATTTTCTAAAGAAAAGTTCAAAATATCATAACCCGTTACCCCCAAGATGACTAGGAACAAACCAAGACACCTGTCACAAAACCTCAAAAAAGAGTCACTGAACCAAACTATACTACCAAACAAAATGTGAAACATCAGATGTTCAACAAAGTTAACATGTTCAAACGCCAATATCCCTATAAACTTATAAGAATTTTGAAGACTTTGGCACACCCTTGGCCAATAACAATACCTTAAAAAAGTCGTTATCATTTAGAAATATATAGCAAGCTGAGAACATTATGCAAACCAACAAAAATATCAGCTCATTTTAAAGATTGATCTAACTTCTAACAAGAAAAAAATCAAGCCAGTGCAATGAGGTAAGTAAAAGTAAAATGCTGCCTCTTGAACCTTCTGCTCCACTCCTTTAGCCAAGTTGGTATATCAAATTTTATAAAAATTAAACAAAAATGAGTAACATATGTAATAACGAGCTACATATTTACCTTTACGCGTAGATTTTTGGCATCAGGCACTCCAGAATTCTCTAAATTGTTAAGTCCAGTCAACCGCCCAGAACTCCTATCTACAACCAATCCAAAACCCACAAAAAATCAAATTTAACAATTCATAAAAGGGTATCCAAATTCCAAGCCTTTTAACAACTTCAAATTCTAAATACCAAAAAACCTAACTAAATTATCAGCTACCAAAACCCAAAGTTCAGAAATCAAATTGATTGTCTTTGCAGCTCAAAACCCAAAGAAATCAACCAAACAAAAAAGATCAAATATTTCTTTACGCATGAACGAAAAAAACCCTAAAAATTAAAAGCTCCAAAAAATAAAAACAAATCAAGGTAATTGGATAGGGATTTTACCTGGAAGAGAAGAAGAGCAACCCATGAATTAATGGATTATAAATTACTATAAATTTCTATGAGTAGTTGAAATTAGGGTTCCAAAGCACTGAAGGAAAAAAAATGGTTGCAGAAAATGGAATTGTTACAGGTCGTTAATGGCTGGTATTTTTTTTGAGCAGCATTTTTTTGTTTTTATTCATATTGCGCCACGTGCTCATTTTATTTTATTTTATTTTTTAAAAAACCCACATGCTCAAAAATAGGGACCCAAAGTAATTGTTTTAAATATTAAAAAGGTTTTTTACTTATTTGAATTTTTTAAATAAATATTTATACTCTTATTGTATCTAAATAACAAAAATAATAAATATTTTTTGAATTTTATCACTTTATTTAGATAAATTTTTATACTTTTATTACATCCTAGTAAATTTTTAAATTTTAATTTATACACAAATAAACTTTTAACTTTTAATTTATATCAAAATAAAATCTTATTTTTTAATTTATATCCAAATAAATCATTAATTTTCAGTTTATACTTAAATAAACTCTTAACATAAATTAATTTTTTACTTGAAATAAGAACTTATTTAAATACAAATAAAAAAAGAATTTATTTAAATATAATAAAAATATAGAGATTTATTTAAGAAAAGTAAAATAATTTAAGCACTTTTTTAGTATTTTAACCTATTTAAAAATATAATCTTTAATTTTATATCAAAATAAACTCTTACTTCAAATAAAAGATTAATTTATGTTAAAATTTTATTTAGATATAAATTAAATATTAAAGACTTATTTAAATATAAATTAAAATTTAAGACTTTATTTGGATATAAATTAAAATTTAAAAACTTATTTGAGTATAATGAAAATATAAAAGCTTAATTAATAAAATTCAGAGGCTTATTTGTTATTTTGGCTTTTTTTTTACCAAGTTATGTTATTAAGCTTGGTTAACAAGTGAGTACAAACGATAGATAAAAATTATTTAATTATTATTTTAAGAAAATTTTATATATTCTACTATTTAAGCATTAATTGTAATTTTAAATATCACTTTAAATAATGTCATTTAACATTTTCTTATTATTTTTAGTCAAAGTTATTAATATCATATCGAACAACATTTTAGTTTTTTTTTCAAAAAAATATATATATTAGTATCAATTATTTTGATATATTATTTCAAAATTTTTAATTTAGTACAAATATATTTATAAATATATATGAACTTACATATACGAAATAATATATGTAAAATAAATGTACAATATCTTCAAAAATTAAATAAATAATTTTAAAAATATAAGAAATAATATCATCAACTTATTATGATATTTTTAAATAGTTAATCTCATCATATGATATTTAAATGAGTAATTTTCTTTTAAATATAAAAAATGTTAAGATAAAACAAAGAGATAGAGAAAAATTAACATTGACTTTATTATTGTTAAACTTTAGAGAGAGCACAAATACTTTCTTGAAAGAAATTAGAATACTTATAAATTTTGGTTTGAAAAAATAAAGTGTAACAAAAAATAAATAAACCAAACTTTCAAGAATTATTTTATCCATTAATTTATTTTTATTAGGTTAAAAATAGTTAAATAATAAAAAATAATTTAAATTTTATAAAATATATTTTATATTTACGTATCGGTCTAAATAAGCTAATTCATTAAAATTCATCAAAATTAGCCGAATACCAATGGATATTATTTGATACTGAATTCGAAATAGAAAAATCATTCTTCAATTATCATATTTTGATATAATTAAACAAACCGATCGATATGACCGTTATCAAAATAAAATTAATAATATTTCTTCTAATACTACTAATATTTTTTTAAATAATTTTATAATTAAATGTTTAATTTAGAATCTAATATTTGAATCAATTCTCAATTAAAGATATAACATTTAATTTGATCCACATCAAAATCAAAATATTTTCGAATAAGCTAAAAAAAATACATTTTAACAAGAGTAACATGCACATGCCTTTAAATATAAAATCCGTTACCAATGTCTATTGGTTTGAGTGACAAAGAATTCGATTTTCCTTAAGTAAGGTTGCGGTTTCGAGTTTTATGAAGAAAATAAGCTCTGGAGAGTTTGCCCCCTTATAGGATCTAATTCAATTTAATTCTGAATTAATCGAGACTCAAAGTGATTATCGAACACAAAAAAATTTTAGACAAAAAAAAATCCATTATTCACTTATCATGTTTTGCCCATTTAATATGATAGATGACACAAATTACCCATTATTAAGAAAAAGATAAAAATATAAAATCTTAAAATATAAAAAAACTAGTTTTTTTTTACCCTTGCCATGCACGAAATTTTTATTATATTTTTTATAATTAAAAATTTTAATTTATATTAATTTTTATATTATATATATAGGTAAATAAAGATAATCATAATCATTTATAATTTGTTGTTTGTAGTTTAAAATTAAAAAAAAATCTAAATAAGGATTATGAAAGTTTTAAATTATGAAAATAAAATTATATACAAATATCAATGAAAAAGTTAATCTCTTATTCACAATTACATAAATTTTTAAAAGTATATATTATTTTAGTATAAAAATTAAGATTTACACATGTGATATATCATGAAAGACTTTTTTATATTTAATTTTGAAACTTTGTATTGTCAAACTTTTATGACAAAAAGAATAAAATATTGATTATGAGAAAAAATCATAAATATATATTTAATAATTATTTAATTTAAAAAATCTAAATTTTTAAAAATTTAGTTTTTCTAAGTTTAATTTTAAATTAAGATAAAAGAAGTTAGTATAATTTTAAATTTAGATATATGTGTAATTTTAAATTGAGGTAAAATATTTTTTATTTTAAATTATAAAAAAATAAAGACAAAAAATTAGTAAATAACAGTGGTTCAACCATAAATTTTATTTATTTAAATTTATATGAATATTAATTTAGATGGTGTATAATTTTTTATGATTTAGAAATTTAACATTTAAAAATTATTTGGATTGGGTAAGAGTGAAATATGAGAAGATATATTTTATTAGATTTAAATTAAGATAAATCTTATATATTTTAAAAAATTTTGATAAATGTAAATTTTAAAACTTTAAAATTTTTAAAAATTAAATAATTGATTTAATAAAGTTATTTGAAAATATCTTATATGTCAATAATATAGATTGTTCATCTAAATATCTATGTAAATAAATTTTATCAAATTTTTATGTATGTTATAATATAATATTATATATGATTATCTTTTTGTGTTTTTCCTTTTCCCATAACTTCTTGTTCATCTTTTCCCATTCTGTTGTTTCTTTTCACCATCCTTTTCTACCTCTTTTTTTAAGTTGCCGACTTCTATGTCTATCCTTTTCTTCTCTCTAGTATGAAAATCCCTCATTTTTTTTTTTATTTTCATTCCTTTTCATGGCTGTCGACTCTTCTATTGATCTCTATGCTGCCTCCTCTCTTCTTTGTTGTCGTTGTCAACTCCTCATTTGTCGACAATGATTCCTTCTCCTTTGCCTCATATTGGTTTAGAACAATCCAACAACCTATGAGCTTATGGATTATAAATTACTATAAATTTCTATGAATAATTGAAATTAGGGTTCTAAAGCACTGAAAGAAAAAAAATAATTGGTTGCAGATAATGGAATTGTTGCAGGTCGTTAATGGCTGGTATAAGATGCTGAAGAAGTCCTTTGGGCATCATCTTTTTATTTTTGTTCATTTTATTTATTTATTTTATTTAGAAAACCACATGCTCAAAATTTGGGGTCCAAAGTAATTTTTTTAAATATTAAAAAAAAATTAACTATTTTAATTTTTTAAATAAATATTTATATTTTTATTGTGTTTAAATAAATAAAATAATAAAAAAATCTCATAATTTTATTACTTTATTTAGATAAAATTTTTTATACTTTTATTATATCCAAATAAACTCTAAAATTTTAATTTGTATCCTAATAAATTTTTAACTTTTAATTTTTATCCAAATAAATCTTTAATTTTTAATTTATATTCAAATAAACCCTTAACCTTTATAAATTCTTAATATAAATTAATTTTTATTTGATACGAAAATTTATTTAGATACAAATAAAAAAATAAAAGCTTCTTTAAGTACAATAAAATGTAGGGATTTATTAAAAAAATAAAACAATTCAAGAATTTTTTCAGTATTTTTACCTATCTAAATAAATTATTATTTTTTAATTTGTATCAAAATAAATTCTTACTTCATATGAAAGGTTGATGTTAAGGGCTTATTAAAATTAAGACTTATTAAGGTATAAATTAAAAGTTAAGGATTTATTTAAATATAAATTAAATATTAAGAATTTATTTAAATGTAAATTAAAATTCAAGAACTTATTTTAATGTTATTAGCAAGTTATGTTATTAAGCTAGGTTAACAAGTTTTACAGCTAGGGAAATCCTTTTACCCATATAGTCGGATTTTTTTTTAGAATTCTTGGGAAATTTAACTTGTTCTATCCTAACCAAGACATTATTAAAAAATATAATTAATTAATTAAATTTATATATAATTTATATTATATTTTAAATATTATATATTATTTATAATAATATTTATTATTCTCTCGGGTGGTGGTTATATATATTATTCGAGTCATTTGATCTTGATAATGTTTTCAGCACAATAAAAATTTTTTAACTATTATTTTAAGAACATTTTTTATATTTATTATACTATTTTTATTAAATTGAAGAAAAATTAAAAGCATTGATTGCAATTGTTAAAATATCACTTTAATTAGTGTCATTTGAGATGTTCTTTTTACTTTTAGTCAAGATTATTAATACCGTCTCAAACATAGTTTTGATTTTTTTTTAAATGGTATATGTGGATATCAATTATTTTGAAATATTATTTCAAAATTTTTGATTTAATAAAGATATATTTATAAATATGCATGAACTTATACATGATAATACTATTAATAATTTGTAAAATAAATATAGAATAAATAAATAAGTTTTAAAATATAAAAAATAATACCATCAATTTATTATAATTTTTTAAATAATTAATTTGATTATATAATATTTAAATGAATATTTTCTTTTTCATGTAAAAATACATTAAGATAAAAAATAAAGAGATGAAAAATAAAT